AGATGTTAGTAAAGAGAAAACAAATAAAAATTCTAAAATGTACAAAAGAAATTGGAAAAGAGGACAAAAGCTAAATTATTGGTATGGAATATATATCATTTTTTAATTAGTAAATAAATAAAATAAATAATTACTTGGAAAAAATATATAAATAAATGAAAAAAAACCACTGCGGCCATGATGACGACTGACAAGCCAGATCATACATGGAACCACAGTACTCACATCACCCTTCCAAACAACATGCCTGTAAGACTTTGCATAATTTGGCAACAGAAACCAAGTCAGAGATCATATTATCCATATCTAGTAGAACACTTCAACATCACAAACTTCCCCCTATACAGGAAATTCCCCAATCTTACCGCCATGTAGGGTTTGCATCCAGCGTCCATGGTTTTGGCTACCGAGTCGACCAGGTAGCCGCTGATCCCAAAGTCACACATCTTCACCTGCCCCTGCATGTTTATCAGCACGTTGGAGGGTTTCACGTCTAAAACACACACACGCACAAACAGTGAGGGAGAAACCCACTGAGAAACTCAAAAACTGGATGAATAGAAAATGGCATTCATGCAGGAACGTGGCATTAAAATAAACTGTAAAATCAACAGAATTATTATACAAACACGACTGAACACTTCATTAATAGTCCTTCTTTTAGCAAACACAATGTTCCCTTCTTTGGAGATGACGTGTCAGGTGCTGTGCGTCACAAGAACCACCTGGACTTAAAAAGATTCAATTTGGATTAAATCAATACATAAATAGATCACATTTTTCATAACAAATGGAGCTGTAGTCAAGTTTCTACAACCTCCAAGCTGCCCCAAGACATGTCACAGAGCTCGACGTGTTTCCAAGTTGCCATGGCGCTTCAAAATATTTTATTACCCGAGAACTGACTTTAGAGAAGATTTGCACCTGCAAGTAGCCTATTAAAAAAGTAAATGAGAGAAAAAAAAAACTAAAACATGGACGCGAAACAACGGGCATGCATTTCTTTGTGTTGAAAAAGGAAGGGTGGAATCATCAGGTCAAGAATAGACACGATAAAGCACCCAAGTTGCTTCAATGGACTGTCATCTTTGACTGTGATGCACAGTATGTATGTAATGACTCATTACATTTTTATTTTTTTTAAAGTGTCTGAGGTGTAGATGACACAAAATTGCTCACTCTTTTTAGAGTTACATAATGCAGACCTAAATATTAAAATACTGCAATACGGCTTATAATATATATAATTATATATTAGTAACCATGGGTTACTGGTACTAATATTAGTATATTATATTAGTAAATTAAACCCATAATGTATCAGATCTAAAAGACCAAATATAAATAAATAAATTTCATATAGATAGATATATAGATAGATATATATATATATAGATAGATATATAGATAGATAGATAGATAGATAGATAGATATATAGATAGATAAAAACTTTAGTTTGGCTTTGCATTGTACAGTCTGTGATGGTTTCCCTTTTCTTCTCAGCTTCAAAATGCCTTGCTTTTCTCCTATAGACAGCTCTTTGGTCTTCATGTTGGTTTATCGTTTTCATCAACGGATCGGCCCGAGCCGAGAGTAGACGTTCAGAGATATTCATCCTTTAAACAATCAATTTAACGGGACACACACCTGGGCAACAAGAAACACTCAGTCACATGTGCCAATATTTTTGATCACTTGAAACTAAAAATGGATGGGTTCAAATTAAAATGTGCCATGTTCCAAGTTGTTTAACGCATTTAGATGTAAACGGGAGTCTCAAACCCAAATGTATAGAGAACACAAGAGAATTGCCCTTACGTTCCAATACTTTCGGAGGAGACTGTACTTACAACTCGGAATTAAAATTCAGATTTGGGAGGAACGATGCAGACAAAGTCTGGGGTGGGTGTTAACACGTTTCCCCTTTCAGAAATCTGCAGTACGTGTATACATGGGGTTTTACTGCAACATCCAGGAGATTTAGGGGGAAAGAGACCGCTTGCCTGATTACTGTAAATCTCTGCATACACTCTCACACACACACACTTGTATTAAATTGTAAAATCACGGAAAAGTTACTTTTTCCCTGTAATTTAATTCAAAAAGTGGAATTTTCATAAATTCTAGATTCATTACACAAAGTGAAATCTTTCAAGCCTTTTTTGTTTTAATCTCGAGGATTACGGATTACAGCTCACGGAAACCAAACATGCAGTATCTCAAAATATTAGAATAAAGAATTTATAATAAAGAAATATCGAGCTTCTGAACAGTATGATAATTTATGCACTTAATACTCAGTTTGGGTTTTAATCCCTTTACAGGAATTATTAAAATTCAACACATAATACGCATTGCATATTTTCCTACAAAGAGGCGTAAAGCGACCGTCCATCGGTGTGGACAATAGGGATACTGTATTATACTTTCTCTAATAAAACTTGACCTGCACGAACCTGTAGAGAAAATACAAACCTTTAACGAGAAACAATAAGAAGTGTTTATCCGAGCCAATCAAAGCTCACCCAGACATGGGAATATTAAATTAAAACCAATCTTTAAAAAAAAAAAAAAAACAAGAAAAAGAAAAATCCTTCTATATAATGGATATTATGAATAGCTGTGGCAGTGATGAGAACATGGACACCACGGGAAACTAGAGACATTTAATGGAATTTCAGAGCTGGATTTCATGTGAGGGGGATTTGGGGGGGGGGGGTCTATGGGGGTGGAGGAAAAAAGAAAAGCAAGCTGTTGCCGTCTCTCACCTCGGTGGATCACTGACAGTTTGCTGTGCAGGTGTTCCAGAGCCTTCACAATCTGCAACAGGAAACAAGATTCAGTGCAACAGATACATTAATTTCCTGAACGCGGAGGTCAGTAATTGTGTCTAATGGACACAGTTGCGTGCCGGAGTGTGGAATGGAAACAGAGGAAGTCCATTTGTCATTTGCCCAAGAAAGCAGGAAATATCCTATTTCTACAGCCTCATCTCTGCCAAACATGTAATTCCACCGTTAGCTGAAAAACCAAAAAATGTATATACACACACACACACACACACACACACACACACACAACACACACCATAATAGTAGGGGTGTACATCATGCGGGGTACATGAAGATGATGCACTCTTTTTTTTCTTTTTTTTTTCCAAGTTGTTAAATAAAACAAAATAAGATTAAACAAAAAAGAAATACATCAACAGCCGATGTCTGCAATACATTTGTAACTGTATTATTTTATAAGCTCACCACAACACCTGCCATATCTCGGAAAATACGTATCGTTACATCATTTATCACAATATTAATATCATATCAAACCGCCCAGCCCTAATCCCCAGATGTACAAAAAGGGAAAGTCAGTAACAGCGAATTGGGACGTGGCCAGACCGACTCCCAGTCCGTTACTCTGCTACAGTCTTCTCTTATTACCCAACAGAGCCGTCTCCGTCCTGTCATCCGAGCGCTCCAGACAAGCTGTTTTTATTCTCACTTACTGATACATTAAGTTATGTGATGCATAAAAGTGAACACTTATTCCGAGTCTTTTTTTAATAAACAGAACATCAGATTTCGAGCTAAATTGACGACTGAAAGTGCACACATCATCGAAAATGCTTGTTTATTCTAAAAGGTTCATGTAAAAGAGTGGATCTTAACGTCTAAACGTGAACTTTCGTGATTTTATACGCAAATACAAAAAAAAAAAAAAATGCAAAAGACGCATTTGTGACGTAAAGATTTTTTTTTAAATAAAAATTCACCGAGATTATTTCATTGCATCACTCAGGATGAACGAACGTAAGAATAAATGATGTTGCATTCATCCACATTCGGTTGGATTGTTGGAAACGTACATTCAAAGATTAATGGTTGACAGAACATGTAACCAGAAGCAAAAGAAAGACATTTACTATGCGTTTAGCATGAATATTTTCGCCTTAAGGTGATCTATAAAGCTAATGTGCTCTAAAAACAATGACAAAATTTGTCATTTAAAACGTACACGTAGTCAAAATTTACAGCGTCTCTCGACCGCCAATACGGATCAACAATTCTGATGACATCATTCTGCACTTCAGCGCTTTTGCTTTGCTTTTACTGTTTTATTTAAAATCAAGAATATTTTACGCGTGAATGCCGCTTTACGATTAAAGCTGCCTTTCCTTCAGGTTAGAGCGAGTCTGTGCCAATAATACAACAAATCGGTGATATGATACTCAACATGAACATTTTGTGATGGACGTGTCAAAATATTATGACTATGACTTTACTCTTTGGACGGAGTGTGCCTAAATACACAGCTTTTTTCCTTTTTGTTGACATGCTGATATCAACGTACTACTAACAGCGAGCATTTATTAAAAAAAAAACAAAAAAAAACCCTTCCGCTTTGAAGAACAGTTTTTTTTGTTCATAGATCAGAAGTTGTTCTCTCAGTCACTGGTGTCCTGTTAAAGGGTCAGTTCATTACTCCATTAACTCGGGTCAAGTTCAATAGAAACGTTACCCAGAAATCGGCGAATCATCAGATACAATTTCATTTTCACTTCCAAAAAAAAACAGTGGACAATGCTGTTAATGTGTGCAATCCTGAGCAAAAGAACACTATGTTTTAAAATTGTAACGTTTAATTCGTATATGCAACCCAGGCTTTATTTGACATTTCCTCATTAGGAAATCGCGTACGGCTGGAATCGTTGACTGAAACACAGACGTTGAAAAATTAAACACCAATGAGATTTTTCCATTTTAGCAGCCAATCAATGCAAGGACACGTTTTGCAACCGAATCTGGGTAATGTCTCAAATGACTGTGCATGCTTAATAAGGGAAATACAATAGCAAATACTTGATTGGATGATCATTTTCTAATTAGCATTATGCATTAGCATATATCTAATTTTGAATAAAAGTCTGCACAGAGACTCTTTCATCCAAAGCGAGTTACTGTTGGGCTGAAGGTAAAGGGACTTGCCCAAAAGTGGCGCTTGGTCATACCAAGATTTAAACTTGTAATCTTACGATCAGTAATCAGGAGCCCTAACCGCTAGGCCACGACAAGCCAGCAGCACTAGTGTGCAAATTACTGCTGAAATCCGTTTTTGCATGTTTGTGCATACTAGTGAACAAACTGCGCAGTGTAGTGTGACTAATACAATATCGAGACCGTTAACAAATACAACACTCACCGAGACGGCTGTCTTGCCAAGGATGTCCTCTGGGATGGTCATACCCTTCTCGTGGACCTGCTTATAAAACTTATCCAGTGAGGTGTCCATTAGCTCCATACAGATCCACACGTCACCCTGGCAACATGGAAATCATCCAATTAGATGAGGGAAGCAAAAATACCAACACAAGCATAACGTAATATGGAGGTTCTTGCGAGATATTGACGCCTTATACTGACTTTTATTTTTTACTGGTTTCTTAGCATTTTGCCCCCCCACCCATAAATTTATGTATAAATACATAAGCAAGCCCCACCATGACTATGTCCTACATGACAGGTATCCAATGAAATGTAAAAGAAATTTTATGCTCGGTATTTTATATAACCGTTGGAATTAATGTTCACTTACACATTTCTAATTCTCAAAAATGATACGTAGCTGTGAAACTTGACAAAATTTGCATTACACTATATTACACTACATTTGGCTTAGTTTTTCCCCCCCTTATCTTTTAAACATGTAATTGGGAGAAAAAAATTTATCCGATATCTTTTTTTTTTTAAGTGAGCCTGTAAAAAGATAAAAATAAATAAAATTAAATTTAAAAAATCGAGTGAAAATACCTTGATTTTTGATTTTTAATTTCAGTCTTAAAATTGTCTGGCAAATTATTTTTTAGAATTTTGAAAAACAAAAAGGTACAAAATAACCGAAACTATCTGCCAATAAAACATGACGCTTGACATTTTACAAATATTGTACATTTATTTTACAGTAAACCTCGAGAAACACTGGAGAAATACCTTGAAAACCAATATTGAAGACATTGATTGCTATCATTTTTGCAGTGATTTCATGGAACAGTACACAGTGCCCATAATTAATATTAGAACAATTAATTGAACTAATGGAGGAAAAAAAAAATGCCAACTACTTTTCTGGGTTTATTTCTCTGGTCCACAACATTAAGCTAAGCTGCAGTTCCATGTTCATTTCGAGGTCAATTAGAATTGCTTAAAAGCAGCTTTCCAATTCAGAAACTTTTTGAATACACAAACCATAACTGAAACTCACAGAACCTGTGAGACTGTTTCGCGTTTATGGGTTTCCCCATCATGCACCACATAGTTCAGGCAGGAAGGACTTATTATTCATAACTGCACAATTTCTCAAGTTTGAAAAAAGAAAAAAAGTAGTTATTACAGTTTTACCTATTAATTTCAATAAAATAAACTCCAATATCAACATCTTTGCATGCAACAACTAATTTCCTGTTAAAACTAAGTTACTGCGAGACTGCAGGTCTCTACAGCAAAACTGTAAGTCACTGTTAAACTATCACTGAGGCCATAACTATAAGTTACTGTAGGAACGCAAGTTACTGTTAAACTATTACTTAGGCCGTAAGTTAGTGTTATAAACCGTAGATTACAGTGAGACTATGTTACTGTTAGATGCCAAGTTACTGCAAGACTCCAAGTTAGCGCGTTTTCAAACCACTTTCATTAGCATGAAAATGATTTGTGAAATATCCCCCCATGCCAGTCTAAATGTTCAGCCAAAATGTTGGCGATTCTCTAATACGCATGGTTAACTGATGTTAATCATATACTTGCCTATGTTAAGTCAAACATACATTGATAGATTTTAGTTCACAAGAATGAAGTCAAAACATTCTCTTGGTACTTGGACAAAGCAAGGGCACTGGCCAAAAGATTACTAATCTGAAATGAATTAAAGGGCCGGGACTCAGGGGGTCAATTCAAAACACCTACGCAACTGTCAATCAGATTCATATGTCGTCGTCCCCCCAAAAATGCATGAAAGCTGGAAGCTCTACTATTTCTTATTTCGATTTTGTGTCGAACTTTAAAAAAAATTTTTTAGCTACCTCTCTGAACAGAGCTCCATAGAAGGTCACTGTGAAAAAGCAGTCCACGGTCCTCATCGAAATATCCAGATCCATCAGCAGCCGCTTCTGCTCCTGGCTGTTCACCGTCGCCCGGATTCTCTAGATACACACGCGTAAACGATCAGTTCATTCAAACAGTTACGTGGTCCGATTGAACGGGCGTATGAAATAATCCAGCAAAGAAAAACAAACAAACAAACAAACATAAGGGCTGCACGAGTAACCAGATTTTAACTGCTCTCAATCATGAGAAAGAAATTTGATAATTTCTGATCTAAACATGATGTCAATATTGTGCGAAATAATAGTCAATATATACATTTTCAATTTGCAAGTTTTTTTGTTTGTTTGGGTTTTTTTTTTACGCAGAAAGTGTGTTAGTGATCAGTTATAAGCTCAGAAAGTCCACACGGGTGCATCTCTAACCTTAACAGCCATGATTATGCCACTGGGCACGTGCCTCATCTTGTCCACCACTCCATATGCCCCCCTTCCCAGCTCTCCGATCGGCTCCAGATCATCTGCCTTCACCTCGAAATTCTACACACACACACACACACACACACACACACACACAAACACACACAGGATTAAAGAGGTACTTCAGCAGCAAGTGATTCATTCATTTACAGTGACTCGATGAATCCAGGATATGCATAAAAAGACACCAATAGTTGACCACAAAGGAGACAGAAAATAGATAAAGGACATTCTGGTTTTGAAAATTATTAATAAAGGGGAAAAGCGTGGTGGCTCCAGCAGTGGTGAGTGATGAAACAGCTCATGCATGTTCCTTCCTGCTGCTACTTGCTCGAACTGGTTAACGCCAGAAAGGGCTTTGAACCCGAAGGCCACAAAACAGAGCCTTCAGTAATTTGAGACCCTTTCAGTCCCCCTCATAAAATCCAACCGGTCTTTAATCAGACAGCCACCATTAAAGGGACTTTATGTTAAATTGTCATGACAAAAAAAAAAAGCCACCTCTGCCAATGGAAAATTCCACTTACTTGACGGGTTTAAAATAAATATTTTTACAGCTCAGGAGGCAGTAAAGCACATTCCTGTCTGCCTGCAATCAGGAGGATTCAATTGAGCTATAAAGTGCGCTGGGCCGTTCTTCAGGACTCTGGGGGCGATTAATTGAGCCGAGCCTTTATAAGCAGTCCGCCAGAACCTTACGTCACCACACACACACAATAACGCAAGATATGAAATATGCTTTTATGTATTCAGTGTGTTAACCGTCACAGGAGAAGAATTCACGTTTAGAGGATATGCCATTGTCAAAATGACAATGCTTTGGGTTTAACTAGATGCAGGACAAATTACACAAACACACCAATAAAATAAAAATAATGTATAACTCATCTAGGAATCAAGTCCAGTGTCCTCACAGAACGTCTACACACACTGCCTAACGCAATACTGCACATGTGATGCTCGTAAAAGCATTTAATTTCATGCCATTTAAAGAGGATACTCGAAACATAAAAACACTATTTGAAATAACTCACTGAAAATCTTTTTTTTTTAACCAATTTTTGTTCTTTCTCCAAGGCAAGCATCAAACAAACAAAAACGTATAAAAATAAACTAATGTAAAATGATACAAATAAAGGAGAGAAATAAAATGAATTAAGATGAACACAATGTCACAAACAAATGTTCATTTAAACAAGACATTTCATTAGTCCTTAGGGCCTTGAATAAATAAAATCGATCATTTCAGACAAATTAAGACTTTCTAAGGAAAGAAAACAATTTTCCACAGATTCAAAGATTCACATTCGTAGATTTCTAGGATTTTTGCTTAGTCCTCTGATCTTGACGAGGTCTCTAATCACCTAATTGCCATTGAGCCGATTGAAATGATCTGTTACGCTTCCATGTAAACGAACGTCAATGTTCAAAAATCAAGCAAAATACATCCGCAAAACATGACGAGGTCCGTTCACAAAATTCTCACCTCTGTGATCATGATCAGTATTTTCACCGTTATGATCAGATAAGGCTGTGAACTGTGAACGGTTTGCAAATCATTTTAATAGTAGCTACAATACGGCCTGTTTTGTTCATTTCTCAGTAACCTCTTTGTGTTTCAGCAATATGATCTGTAGATTTTATTTACTGGGTCATTTTTCCTAATCAGAGAGAAAATTGTATTTAGTTGCATGTCAATATCTGTTTCAGACTCTAATATGACGCACGATTTTTCATTCTATTTCATAACTATCCTATTACTCCTATTTCCAAGATATTATATATCATTTTGTTCTAATGTGCAACAATAGTATTCTATTCTCTATATATTTATATTAGTATTCTTTCTTTCTATCTATCTATTATAATATATATATATATATATATATATATATATATATATATATATATATATATATATATATAATATATGCACACACACACATACACTTCATTTTATTATTGTTTGTTATACTTTATAACAGTTATACATTTCTATCCTATTTTCAATCAGTTTTTAACTGCATTATTCCATTCGATAAGTGTATTATTATTATTGTGCAGAGAAAAAAATAAATAACAAAAAACAACTCATCATAATTAGTTCTCAGCTAAAATTTTACACTTAAAAAATAAGGTTAAAAAATTTAAGATAAAATAAAAATCACTATAATTTGCTAAATGACCGAAAAATAAAGACTAAAGAAATTAATAAAAAAAAAAAAAAAAAGAAATAATAATAATAAAATTTAAAAAATCATGACAGATTTGGAGATTTTTGTTTTAAAGGGAAACATGGAATAACAGGATAGAGAGTGTGGAGAGGAGAGGTCCTACCTTCTCTCCGATGGTAACGCAGGCTTTTGAGTCCAGGTCTCTCGGGGGTCTGGAAAGTCACGAAGAAATCAGATTTAATCATATTTAAGGAGGTTAGTCATCCTTAATCACATCCTTGCACTCCCTTCAAAGAATTAAGCAACTTCCACATGCATCCTTA